GAAATTTAATCATGAGGTTTTAAAGGAAGCAGATTGAATGCCTTACTGAATTTAGCATGTTTATTTTGTGGTTTTGTGTTTTGTTTTGTTTGTTTTAAATTAGGCTAAAATAATAAACATGCCAAAAAAGTGGATCTACTACTGTCCATTTTTTCTCCTGAAAAGTATACTCAACATAGTCAATATACATTATATTTTGAATGCAGCACAGTGTATTTTGTTAATTTTAAAATACTGTTCAAAAACAGGTCATCTGAATAATAGTCTCAAATATATAAATACACATATATACATATACACACACATACATATGCATATGTGTATATATACACTCATATACAATCATTAAGTTATGTTCTGTTAAAGGAAAAGGATTTAGGAAACAATCTGACTAGCAGATTAAAACTCCTACCCAAGGAACACACTTCACCACAGTCCCATGGGTCAGAACTGGTGAGGTAAATTCCTCTTACCAATAGGGCCACAGACTGGAGAAAAAAACCATAACTCCATATATTTAATTTCAGATTTCAAATAACAGTACACCACAGACCAAGAATTATGCCCATTTCACCAACTGATTTATCTCAAGGATAGTCAATTCTGACACAAAATTATTTCTCTTGTCCAGTCATTTATTTTTTGGATATTTATTTCCAGCTGTTTACATTCACCCCTACATCAATTATCTCCAGCTGAAACCTATTTGAAGTTCAGCTGAGCACTGTGATTCCACATGAGACATAGTAAGTCAGCAGCTCTCCAACTGGTGAAATCTTGATTTTTCCACAAGTGCCTTTATATAATGTAAGGCAGATTCTACATGAATTTAAATCACTGAAGGTATAATAGCTCTAGCAGGTCTATGCTAGTCTACACCAGCTAAAGATCTCTAAATAGCTTTGTGGAGAAAGCTCCTTTTTTATTGCTTAGAATTATTTCTACATGGAAAGTTTATTTTTTTCTTGAAAGCCTTTTCTTCAGTATAAAGAAACACTACCTTCTGTTCATTTTGTTTAATCTTGTCTTGAAATGAAAAGCTGACCAGTTTTTATACTAGCAAGGTGGTTGGATATAGATTTAAAATAAACTAACAAACTCCAAAGAACCTGTCAAGTGTTTTCACATCTTTCCCACTTATTTTTATATACATGTACTTTTTTTTCGCCCCTGAATCCACTTGGAACTCTTTAGAGCATACTTCTGTAACCTCACCTAAAACTTACTAAGGTGGTAGTGTATTTATTCTACATTTAATCAGTACCTTGCCTTCATCCATAATTTAAAAATACAAAGAACAGAAATCCTCTTTTCCATTAAAGGGATTTAGAATCTTTGAGATTTATAAAAGCACTTTGAGATGTTTTTGCATAAAAAGGTGTCACTATGTATTACATGCAATTAAAGGTGTTTAATAGTCTACTCCAAACAGAAGAAAATGTTTTCTATTCTCAATATCTGTTTTGCACATAAAAATTAAATATATTTTGGAATAAAGAAAACTACTCAGTGTGAAGGATTTGAAAGTACTATATGCAATAGATTTTACAGTAGCTCTTCAACTAAGCAGGAGTACCTGATACCAGAAAACAATTTTTAGAGCACCTGGAAGAATGGTGCAGACATCCAGATGTCATGATACACTATTTTTCCATGATGGGGGAAAATATTAAGTCATTTTGAAAAATATATTAATATGTTCCAAACAAATGTCATTAGAAAGTTAAGCCATTGTTCTGGTTGAACACAGAGAAAAATGCAGAAAATAACTTTTGATCTGCTTTAAATTGCACAGAAGACTGGTCACTTTTAAAGTAAGAAACAAGCATTTCTTGAACATGAGAATCAAAGCTTAAATAATTCATCAGAGCCATTCACATCCATTCATGTATTATGAGTGAATGCTCAGTTATAGTTTATTCCTTATACACACAGCTTTATGCTAATAATTTAATGCTTTTTTTGTTTTAGAGAATTTGATAGCTGAAATGGGAACAGCCTATATTTTGTTAGAATGATGGTTTTAATTTGACTGCTTTAGTCATGATACTTAAGCTGCAGCAGTTACTACTTTGAATTTGTTTCTCTGTGGTCATAATTTACAATTTAAAGTTGAAGAAAAAGTTTTGAATGCTGTAGTGGGGCTTGTCTGTGGAGAACAGAGTAAAACAGTTAGGGTAGTTAAATCAAGGAGCAACTTCTCCATCTTCTGATCTCCTTTAATATTGGTGGTATGTACCTTTCCCGCAAAATATACATGGAACCATACATGTGAGTTCCAGTATTCCAGTACATTCTCACTCAGAAGAGAACATTCTGACCAAGCAGTTGATTATGAGAACATGAAATAGGTTTCAGTAGCGTAAATAAAATATGCCACACTATATAAGCATCAATGGTTGAGAGCAAACATGAGGCTACCATCCAAATAAATAACTCTCAATGCTAACAATTTCAAATTGTTTATGCCCAAATGCAGGGCTTCATCTGGAAGATACTGAAACCATTCAAGCAGCTTCAGCTACTCAACACCACTGTATGACAGCCCAGAAATTGCTGTTTCTGATCATTTCCCTAATCATTTAGCTGGAATAGGTGTTCCTGCTTGGCTCAGAATTAAGTTTGTGGGAGCTTAGAAAACAGAATGTATACATGATTACAATCATGCCATCATATTATTTTCAGTATAGCTCAGTCTGTCTTATCTGGGGCCTCCTTTAAGGCAGCTTCTCCTCTCACACTCAACAACTTGAACATGGGAAACAATGTATTTATACATTAGGTAAGAAGACTCTCCCAGATCCCACAATCTTCTCTTTTACAAGATACCCACTTTCAGGAGATGACCATGAAAGCAAGTTAGCCACAGAGATTTCATCTTGCTTACCTGAATGTTCCCCCTTCTCTCACCAAGGTATACCCAAGATAACATGTGCTAGCTCGGGAGACCCATGGGAAGATTTGATGGTACTTACCAACATGAATCAAAATGGGCTTGAGCTGCCCATAACAAAAGATAAATACAGCTGACAGGAGAAATAACTTAAAATATCTTACTGAATTACAGAAGAGCTTGCGTATCACATAAAAGTAATACTAGGGTTACATGCAGAATAATCTGGACACATGGAGCACCCAAGAAACAATTCATAACTGACATGTGGAAAGTCAGTTGTAGAGTTAGGAGTCTACAATGCCATGTCCTGATAATTACTAACACTAGTGTAAAACTTTGAAGTCTAAAGGCCATGGCAGATTTTGGATTTGTGCAGGTGAGGGCAAAATCCAGCCCACTAACATTAAGTTGCATGACATTCTTTTAACCAAAGAATGATAGACACTGTATACTTGTGTACACTTGACACTGAAAACAGATTACTTTGACAATCCTTTGCTAAATGTTAAGTATTTTTTTCCCTATAGTGTCACAAAAAGAGTAAAGTGGGAGTTCGGTGAATATTTTGACTGGAAATCATATTATGAAAAAGCAACAATTTAAATCTGCCCTCGTGTTACTAACAAAACTGGATTTGAACCTGAGCTCTTCAGCTTGACATGATTTAAAACAGAGATTGCAGTAATACTGAGGAGTAAGACTCCTGCATGTTCTTATAACAAGCTGATTGTAGAACCTACATATTTTCCTTCCTCTGAGGGTTCAGAAAAGGAAAGATGGCAATGATTTTAATTGTCTATTTGATAATCAATCATTACCTCTGAATTTGTTGTATTTCATCCAAGGACGTTACAGTAAAAATTGTAGGGAGGTCATTTGCCTCTATGGATGAGAATCCTAATAGAAATAGAAGTTCATAACGGACTTAATACTGTAGAGCCCACAAATCCTTATTCCCATAAGCAGAATGTGAATAATGTCAGTTAATACAACGTGAGATTTGCAGACTCAGACTTCATAATAGATTTGTATAAAGCAGGCTCCACTTTACAACAATAACCCTTGAAGACTGCTGTTATAAATATTACAGTATCTAATCTTCTGCAAAAATTAAAATATTTAAGTTAAAAATGTTCTTTCGTTCCAATAACCATAACAGCAAAAGTACACATTCCGTGAAGTTTACTAGAATCTGTTGCTTTTCTCAAACCACATACTGCATTTTAGTAAAGAACTACTGCACTCTTAAAAGGTAACAGTGATAGGACACTGAAGAAAAGCGACTACTCCTTTAAACACAGCTGGAACATATTTGTCCATTACATGCCACTTACATTACTGCTGGTTTTTTAATGCATAAAAACATCAAGATCATTGAGTGTCAGCTATCAGAACAAATCACTGAACAGTATTTGTTAATTTAGGACTGTTTAATTTCAAATAGAAAACATGCTTTTCAAATAAATTACTCACTAATAGGAACCCAGTATCATGAAATCAAAGCAAAAATAAAGTATTGTACATTTTCAATACTGTACATATATTATATATTGTTTTCTCATATTTTAGGTATTAATTTATAGATTGAAAATCATTATATTGTTTCCTTGATAACCTGAAACTTTAAAAGCCAATATACTTATGAAAGCAATTTGCACTCATTAAAAGAGACAAGTGAATACAACATATGTACAGATCAGCGGAATTCAATCTATAAACTACATACATTAAACCAAACTGTCTCTGCGTATTTAACTACAGATCTGTTTTGGCCATGTGGAGGTATATCTTTTATCCTGTTGCAAGTCCTAACATGTAAGTAGGAAGCTTCAATATTTGCATTCAGAATGAGTGTAGTAAATGTTAACTGAAGAGCAACTGGATTTTCAAAAAAATTTGCATCATGAAAAACTGTAAAGTTAGTAGGTATTTTTAATAGCATTCACATTTTTTTAAAAAAGTCTCTGAAATGGACCTGTGCATCACTTTTACTGACAGAACATAAATATAAGATCCCTAAAAAGACCAGAATTCTTCCCAAACATAAAGTGCTAAGAAGTTTCTTTTCTTTATTTATTTATTTTTCCTTGATTGAGCAAAGAAAGGTTAACACCAATTCAATTGAAATCTTTTAAAAATACCATGTGTTCTTGAGCTTCATTATTCACGTTTTAGAAGATTCAGGTTGCTCTTCTAAATTCACTTGCAGTTCATTTTGACATTCTGGTGTCTCACCTTTGACAGCTAAATGGATAACTTTTAGCCATTTCTGTTTTAGTTCCTCATTGTCCGCAGCAAAGCTGTGCACAGACTTAGACTGGGTCAGTTTGAAGCTGTGCGGGAGGTCAGCACTTCTTGGAGTGTCATCTACTGTATAGCCCAGAAGTGGTATTGTAGCTAGAGCTTTAACATCCTAAGAAGAAGGAAAAGCACTTGGTTAAGAACAGCCAACTAATCTCCCTGCTACCTCTCATTTATTATATAGGTTGGTGAAAAGCACTTGGGTCTTTCTTCCATTCCCATTTCGCTCCTCTTCCTCAGATGTCAGTGGTAATAATTACTAAAAATCTTTCCCATTTTCTGTGTACATACCTGTGGAGCACCATACATGTACAGCACAAGAGCTTCCTGCTTAGGTATAACACACCATGCTTTCTGCCAGGGCTTTGATTTTTCCATGTACTGAAGAAAGCTACATATGACGCTATTTCCAGAGACTTCTGCAGATTCAATCTAGGAGATAGTATAAAGCATAAAAAGTAAAATAAACTTTCCTTAAATAAAGACTAAAACCACACAGAACAGAAAAGCAGAAATTCATCACCATTCATACCAAATCTTGGTTAGCATCTGCAAAAGAGTTTGAACAAATACCCAAGATCATGAAGGACTGGATTTATGGAGAATATTTATATATTACATACATAAAATCACTATGTGTTCTCCCTTAACATGTTTAACCTGTTCCTTCTTTCATTAATAATTTTGGATTATGCACTTACAGATCACTCTAAATTTCATTTTGCCACCGCAGCTAGCCTTTCTCTGTATTTTAGTATCTACAACAATGTCTGATTTCTAAAATAACATCATGTTAGGCATTCAAGTGCTACTAACTATCCAATATGACAACTACTCCATTTTGGCAGTCAAAATATTATGACAGGATCAGACGCAAACACATTTTTAGGGATAACATAAGAATGCAAGCACTAATCCTGGAGAAAAGAATAGGTGAATGCCTTAAAATCTGAAGACAGAGTGATATGCTACTTGGGTTATATAGTGATCCTGAGAAGAACAGAAAGACCACAAAATGATTATATGTTAAAATTTCTTTGCATCATTTTTTTTCCTCTCCCAGTAGTGATGCTGTCTGGAGGCTGCAGTGTAGTACCAACTACTCCATTGTCGTAAAATTCAGCATGCAGACAGACATTTCTAAGAGATACTATAGGTCCTTCAGCTACCTTAAAAAAACCATCATGCCAAGGAACAGGAGTCTCCCGACTATAAGGTAAGTTAGTGGCATCCTGTGCTCCTTACTCTCTCATTTAAGAGAGTGTAGTCAAGCCAACATGGACTGCATATGGAATTACAATCTGTATCTTATTTTTGCCTTGTTTTTCTATTGGTATTTAGCTCAGGGTTCAACCCTCCTCAAGAACATCCCAAGATAAATATATTGTCTTGACAAAGTTAGTATGATATTTCTCTAATGTATGTCAGGCATTTTAAAAGGGCCTATAAAGGGTGATTTAGGAAACGTGAAGGTTAATTGCTACCGCAAGATGCCTATTTCTGCTCCTGATCATAAGAGAAACATAGGTCTTTGTTGTCTGATTAAGACCTTGAATTTTTAGATGTCAAATGCTGAGAGCGACTTGATGACTTAAAGGTACAGTGTATATACTGATCAAAACAGTATCTAACTACTCAAACACTGAACAGCAAAATTCTAACATGTTCTCCTCTCCTCCATCCCCCGTTCTTTCAGTTTGGGTGTATGTTTTCAAGAATCATTGTACTAGCACTGGTTTTTGTTGCTACAACAGCTTAAGTGTAGAAGATGAAAACAAGATTTATAAGGAAAGGTAATGTTTTATCACATTAGCTGATGTAACTGGAAAGAAGCTAACAAGCTGATGTTCATCATTCCTCTTTTAAAAAAAGTTGTAAGAAACAAAGTAGTACTTAAAGGATAAATGATGAAAACAAAATCCATTGGATGGGATGAATTTGGTCCATACATTTTTATTGCTCAAACAGAAAACAGCCCTGCAAGAATACTACCATTTTTCACCTACTGATGATCCAAAACTGCAACTATTCACATATAGTATTTTTAAAGAGTATACCTCCAAGATGCCTTTCTTCTTTTTTTCTTCACTGTCTGTACAACCAATTATAACATGATAGCAGTCCTTACAGACTTTGTTCAGTTTATTGCCATCATATTCAAGATGTGCCTTATAATCAGAACATTTCCAGCAAACCACCTTAGAAACAAAAAAGATAAACAAACATACAAAATTTAAGTATTTATAAAACTTTATGGAAATATAATTTAATTTCAAATATTATCATTCTAATTAGTAATATTTTGTTTAATTATATAGAGCAAGAAATATAATTGCTTTATGATGCTATTATGTCAATGGTAACTTAATTGAAAATAATGATTTTTCCAAATTTGTACCACTGCTTCTTAACTAGAAGCACTTTTTACTATTTGCCTGGTAGGAACTTTGTATAAAATCACATTAGCCTTTCAATTATACCTAGGTTAAAAGTTAGGAATAGAATCAGAAAATAGCACAAACTGTGCTGCAGGAAGAAAATCCTTCAGTTTCTTTAGATGCCAACCTGCAAAGGTACACTTACCATTTTTTTTCTACATAACTTCAGAGATGTACAACTGAGATGCAGTTTTAATGATTAAAAATTAATAAAAACAGAAATTGTTAATTTCCTAACCTAAGAAATATTAAATTTACAGGTTCAGAATTTGTTCATGAGTACATAGACCGTATAAGCCAATGTAACACTATCACAAAATATATAGAGAAAATTGAAAATCAAGAAGATCTGAGAGGAGTTCTTTCATTAGAAATATTTTTCTACAGAAATGTTCTTTGAGGGCAAAGAGTGGCCTTGCATAAATAGTGTGAGTGCAGTTATTTCCAGGAAGGTAGACAAATGGACTTGAACCACTTAAACACCTGAACAAAATTTTACTGTGGACCAGGGCTCTGCGGTACTAATCTAGATCACTACCTTCCACTAATATCTCTAGAGAATACTAGTTAAGTATTGCCCATTAGTTACTGCTGCAAAGACACTGACTCAAATTAATTCTCATGAAAAAATGTTTTAAAATTAAAATGCAAGAAGATGTGACAGAACTACAATGGAAGTTATATAGTAGAGCAGTTAGGAGTCTAAATAAAAGGGGGGGAGGAACAGGAAGGGTGTGATCTTGAGATTAATGGAGGAGTTTTAAGACAGAATGATCTGGAAAAAAACCCTAGATGACAACTGCATAAGCAGTAATTCAGAGCTTCTGAAAAAGTCTCTTGTGTCCTGCAAAGCACAAAAGCAGTGCTGTGAATGCAATAAGCCCTCATATCACATTCATACCACATAAAAAAAACTTTAGAAATAAATCATACAAGAACCTGTAAAACAAAAAATTAAACCTGGGCTTGCACTACCACCTGCTGGAGAAAGGCAGAGCTGCTGGATCACAAGAAAGGAAAGCACAGTATGTTTGCTCTTTTGGTAATTTCTGAAAACTCTCACATCATACCACTGTCTCATAGTCACTTTAAAGTGACATTAATTACTGCAGCATCACGTATGGAAAGCAGCAGTAATACTCTCTCCCCTTTCTAACCACCTCTCCTTCCCTGATGCTTCATGCACGTTCACACAGTTACACACCGAGCCCAGCTGGGAACTGCTCCAAGTTAACCCAGTCAAAAGCTTTTAACTGCAGGTCTTCGTGGTCTTCTTGAGAAGAGGAGAGAGAAGATAGCAGAATGGGAAGAGGAGGCAGCCAGTGCTACCAGGGATAATGATGGCTTAGACCAGTTTAACATGGTCTTGAAACTCAAGATCAGTGAAGGCCACTCAGGAGTAACAGTATAGTGCATGTCCAGGGGCTTGGGACACTTCACACAACCGTGCATCTTCCACTGCTCCAAATTACTTCCAAATTTACCATGACAACTAGAGCAGACAGGGGATCCTTTGTGGTATGCTATATACAGCTTCTCCTTTCAGCCACAAGCACAGCAACAAATTCTGCAGCGTAACAAGCAACCACCAGAAGTCAGCTAGGTGCTTAGACCCATTTCCCAAGCCTGCTCACCAGGTACAGCAGCTAGGGTTTTGCACTTACATGTCCACATGCTCGGCAGTGGTGCCTTCTCCTTGTCAGTGCATTAAAGGGCTCCTTGCATTTCATGCACATGGTTACTTCATTGTCTCGTATCCACCTTGGTGCTCTCTTCCCAAGCTCAGCGTTCTGAAGGGGGGCAGGAAGAGGATGGAGAAAAAAAAAAGTCAGTACAAAAAGTTGTGCAGTACTTTAAATAGAGAAAAATAATTATTCTCTTCCTCTAGAAAGGAAATGGCAAAACACAGGTCCAGATGTATTTTGACATCTATACAAGAAATAACAAAGAACCAACTCAAAAAAATCATTATGCATCACTGAAAGGGTACTCTGTTATCCATTTCAAGAAAAAAAGAGGCTTGTTTATAAGATTTGGCATTATGAAGAAAAACAATTAGCAACAAAATGACTTTGTAATCCCACTGCTATAAGCTTGGAAACAAAGTTTCTGCCAAACTTTTTCCACTTACTGAAGAACAAAATGGGTACTAAAGAAAGGTACAAAGGAATAACAGCAACTTACAGAAACCTCAACAGGCATGTCTTCATATTCTTTAGCAATAGCATTTCTGAAAGTTTCATTCCTCTGCTGAAAAGCTTCTATAGTATTCTGAAGCGCCTAAGGAAAAAGTGGAGAAAAGCCAGAAAATATTAATATTCCTTTTTTGATTGCTTCAGTGCAAAAGTGTTTAGAAAATAGAGAATGTAGACGAATTTACCTTTATCCATTCTTCCTTATCTTGTTCAGAACTAAAAGAAATATTTGACAGATTAGTCCAAAACTAGTTTAGGAAACATTATCTCACCATCAACAACTTCTTGCAAAATCCAGGCTTCCGGAGCAATTCTCAGGAATTTAAATTTAAACAATACTAAAAGTTAACTGTCCAATTTGAAAAAAAAAACAACAAAAAAACCAACAAAACAAAACAATACCCAAACAAAACCAAAAGCAACCCAACAAACCAACAGAAAACAAAAGCATGACTTGAGGCTTCACAAGTTTGCAACCACTAAGCAGTGAATTCAAGTTGAAAGATAAATGTAAACACATTTAAAAGTAGCAATAGTATTTGCCTTGTTAGACTTTTTTCTTTTCTTTTCGAGAACACCTTAGAGAGAAAAAGAGGACAATGCAAAGTTTAGGTGCAGGTGCCTTTTTCTCTTCTTTTTTCATGCACTACTAAGTTCACATACACACATTTCTCCTGCATATCTCTTAAATCTTCCTCTTTCCCCAACAAAAGCAATTTCCTTAATGCTTTTTTGTTGTTGCAGCTGTTTAAACTTGTCTACACTGCCAAGAAGAGCATTCAATTAAACAAAAGGAAAAATGTGTTTTAATCTTGTAAACCAAACAGCAGATATTTCCCTTTTATGCATTAGAGCAGATACAGATGACTTAACACGAAGTACAGATAAGATATACAGCCAAGACAGAGGTGAGAAAGGAAGCATATTCAAGTCTGATCTTGTATGACAGCTTTGTCTTTAAAATATATCTGCAGGACTTTGACATTCAAATCTTTGTAAAAGCATCTTATATCACTAGTACTGTTAGAAACTACTGGCTAGTGCTAGTAATGAATGAAAATGATTTCTCTGCAATCTGTAAGTCAGAAAGATGAGAATTAACACCACCGTATATCTGGCTCTTCAAAAGTGGTCTCCCTCCTTGGATGGTGATGTGGGGGAAAAACCTTTCTGTAGCCATGCAATATCAACCATGCAAAATTTTATTTTTCTATGTACTGCTCTGAAAGATGTAAAGGAGAGCTTTTACATCATCCAAATAAAAATGGCTCCTCAGATGTTGTTTTGCAGAATTCGTAAAATTTTTAAGCAAGCAGAATCCTGAATAAGTGTTTCCCCTTCCCACCTACCATGCAAGGCAGAAGAAACCTGTCTAAATAGGCAAAATAATTCTCTCTACCTGCTTACATTAAAAAACAAAAGCTGAGCTGTTAAATGTCGTACCAGATCAGCCGCCTCTCAAAGAAATAATCTACCAGCTGTTTAAAACCAGTGACTGAAAATGTACTCAACTAGTATTCTGAAAAATAATTACATGCCTCCTAGTAAAGAAAACCCCGAAGCTAGACTAAATATTACAACACTTAATACAAGCTCATGAATTAAGGACATTAATTTATAGGATACACACAATATCCATACATTAATCAAGATTATTCCAATGTAATTGAATAAGATCTCATTTGGTACTTATTCTGTCACAATTTTGTACAGACTTAATGCATTCTAAAAATGTTCATAAAACAAAATAAAATATGAAAATGTTTTTCTCACACCTAAAATGAATTAATACAATAAATTTTCACGGACTGGTAATATGGGAAAGTTAACAAAAGAAATTTCTCTTCCAGTTAAAACGTACTTCACAAACAGAATAGCAAGATGCCATCTTTCACCACTGAAATGGGTATAAGGCATAACAACTTGACAAATACTTAGCAAGTCATAACACAGCAATTGAAAGTAGATGTGACTGATCAGCCAAAAAGGTGCCCCAGACGACTTGCAGACCTTAGTGGAAAACTTTTTTCCTATAATTTTTCAAAAGTATATATTTAATTTCAAATTCAATTATAGTGTAGGTAAGTTTCTATATGCTGTTATCTTTCTATATTCACTGCTGTAACTCTCATTACACATTACAAGTTTTTTTCCATAAAGGAAACTAGCTTGCAAGCTTGTTTGCTAGCAAGCTATGGTTTGTCCCCAAATACATGGTGTCAACACAGAACTGTATCCACTATGGCCATCCTCCTGCTTATTTAATCCTTGCCTCTCTCTGCAATGAAACCCTGGCTGCTAGGAATAGGATATTTAAGCAGGTCCAAAATGATAAGTGGAGCACCCTACTTTATTTGAAGTGAGGCAATCTAGATAGGGAAGGTTCAGTCTAGGCAATGCACAAAGCAGCAACAGGAAGATAAGCCAGCAAGAGGAGGATATGAGTACTAAAAAGGAAAGCAGAAGAGCGCCAGCCAGAAGAGTGCAACAGGAGAAAAAGGACTCAAGAACTAGAAGGAGAACTTGCCTTCCAAGGCAAGGTTGATACTTGGGACTGAAAGAAGACATGGAGACTGGGAACAGGCTTCAGGAATGAAGGAAAGCAGGTGCCCATCTACCACTGTAGAAAACTACGTTCTGTAGACATAAACCCACCAGGGTGGAGAGTTTTGTTGGGTGGACACGCCCTGAGGTGAACAGACCCATTTGTACCAAGGTGGCTCAGGTACCAGAAGCAGACACACTGCCCAGAGATTAACACACGCAGTGTCCCAAAAAACTTATGTCAGACAGATTGCCTTTGCACCAGTTAGGTACGCTGTATTCAATTTTCCACCCAGACCATTCACAGTTATCTCAGATATTTCTGCAAAGCAAGGCTATGAACTAGCACTATAGACACTCTATCAGGGAACGCAGTGATAGGAAGAGGGAGTAACATATTTAAACTGAAAGAGGGTAGATTTAGTTTAGATATGAGGAAGAACTTTTTAATGTAAGGCTGGTGAGGCAACGGAACAGGTTGCCCAGAGAAGCTGTGGATGCCCCATACCTGGAGGTGTTCAAGGACAGGGTGGATGAGCCGTTGAGCAACCTGGTCTAGTGGAAGGTGTCCCTATTGACAGCAGAGGTGCTGGAACTAGATAACCTTCAAGGTCTCTTCCAACCCGAACTATATTCTATGATTCTATATGCTGTAGATACATCTTCTATTCCAAGAGATTCTAGGACTGATAATGTATGGTTTTGGCAGCCTAGGTTATTTTCAGAACACTGATATTAAGATCATCACCATTTATCAACAGTCCTGGCTAACAGGGGAGGTCCCAGAAGACTGGAAACTTGCCAATGTGACACCCATCTACAAGAAGGGCCGTAAGGAGGACCCGGGGAACTACAGGCCTGTCAGCCTGACCTCGGTACTGGGGAAGATTATGGAACAGCTCATCTTGAGTGTGCTCACACGGCATGTACAGGACAACCAGGGGATCGAGCCCAGCAGCATGGGTTCATGAAAGGAAAGTCATGCTTGACCAACCTGATCTCCTTCTATGACCAGGTGGCCGCCTAGTAGATGAGGGAAAGGCTGTGGACGTTGT